CAAGTGATCCTGGAAATTAAGATCGATGATATTCACTTTATAATTTTAAATATAAAAACATCGCGCGCGATTTTCATTTCCAAGGTAACTGTGACGTTTTTTTTTTGACCGTATGGTACTATACCGGGTGCGTCTCAAAAGTGGCTCACCCCCTATAACTTTTTTATTTTTTCAGATAAAAAACGATTAGGTATGTATCAGTATACCGTGCTGGCAACTGTTACTTTTGGGTCGGCATTTACATGTGTGGAAGTACACAATCGTGTAATTTTTTTATTGATAAATATTTTCACATACTGTCTACAAAGAAAATACAGCAGAAACATTAACAAAGTTCTTGAAAAAACTACAATCTATTATTTCTAATAGATTTCGAGATATCGATTTTTGAATTCAGAGTTCTAATAGCGCGACGACTATCGAACACCCACCCAATTCCACTTATTTTTACCAAAAATGCAAGTGTTTCTAGCTTGCACTTAAAAAAATTCAAGCTATAGGGAAAATTACAACGACTCGTTAATAAATAAACAAATCAAGTATCACGAGACGTAATTAAATCGTGAAGCTGAACGCATGACGTACACCTTTCCCTAGAACTTTAAGTACTGACAGAGGCATTGATTGGGTCGACCGGTCAACTGCGGCAAATCTGCTATATCCCCTTCCACGTCTCTTAGCGATGTGCACAGTTTCTCGGTTTATTTCATACGTTTGGCAACGTGTTTGGTTTGTCTCTTTGTTCAGTACATTATAAACGCATTGTACTCTTCTTACATACGGAAATCTCGACCCAAAACTAACCTTTGCCAGCCCGTAGTATGACATAAATTAGGATTGATTGACGTACTCAACTGTTTTCGGTCACTTCCTGTTTCACCGGAAATGACTACAACTTTTGATTTTTAAATTGCACCCTTGGTATTTTTTACTTTATTTGATAGAAAATGAGACTCTGAATAGAATAGAATATCACATGTCAATTTTTGACATTCTCACTTAAAAAAGCGTATCTTAAATTTCAATTTAGAGTGTCATGGCTGTGTTAAAACACTAATTTTTAATCAGGGAGCCTTGGAAAAATAGAGTTGATCGTCTAATGTTTTTCGTGTCTTGTCTTGGCCACTTAAAATATACCCAAATCGTATTTTTAATCATATCTGAAATTTTTCAAACGGAACGAGAGTAGCTCATTATTATATTTGGAAAAGGCATTTTTTACGAATAATTTGGTACCACACACTTGGTATTTCGAGGTAAATCGTCGTTACATTACATACAAATTAATTTAAAATGCTATTTTTTTAATTGAAAATGTCAAAAGTCGACATATGCTATGTCATTCTGTTCAGAATGTCAGTTTTTAACATATGAAGTAAAAAATACCAAGGGTATTGTTTAAAAATCAAAAGTTGTAGTAATTTCTGGTGAAACAGGAAGTAATCGAAAACAATAATTGAATACGTTAATCAATCCTAATTTATGTCATATACTAATATACCAAATCTTGTTTTTTTTTATATTAAAAAATAGAGTTATAGGGGTGAGCCACTTTTGAGACTTGAGACGCACCCGGTTTATGAAAGTTATCGATCATTTCTAACGTCTTAAAAAATAACAGTATAGTTTTAAAACATTAAAATATATTAAATCTGTTGATGTCAGTACAATTTGGATCTAGTCTACAACCTACGATAAATAGAACCATAAAATTCTCAGTATGACAACTTTACACAATGACATCTTTGGCATATCAAAAAATGTTTCATTATTCTGCATTATTCTGCTCTGCGTATGTTATTAAAAAAAATAGATATGTATATGATATATTTCTAAAATTGTTTTAAAAAAGGTTCATCAGAGTTGTATACCTATAAAAATTATATTTTAAAATACTTTTAATGAATATGAGACAATTTTATACGATTATTGGATATCTTTAATACATGCAAATAGCAAATAGCTGAGAATTCTTTTTGAAACTGGTTTTTTTGTTTTGGAAAAAATACATATGAATCGGAAGTGGTACGTAAGTAGATAGAAATGTGGTAGCGATATAATGTTTGAAACCGAAATATATCTTGTCAAAATGAAAATAGAAACAATTTCCAATATGTAAATGTATACTTTTTTATTTATGCCTATATATTTATTTTTAAGTGTCGATGTTTTTTTCGTCAAACAATTAAAACAGGTGAAAATTAAACCGTTTTTTCTTTATACTTTGGTTAGAATAAAACGAGCAAATTCTACCTCACTGACTATTTTAAGGACATTTCGTATAACGTCGCTTTTAAGTTATTTTATTTTAGTTATTTTTATCTAATTAAATCGTCTGTTCGGATCTAAGACTGCGTGCAGTGAGGGTTTTTAGTTGTTTTTTTCTTTCTATACCTAGCTGCATTTTAATTGTGATTCGACAGAACAACCTTTTAATGTTATCTTTATTTGTAATTAAAAAAAACTATTAAATAAATTTGTGTAAATAATATAAATACTTTCTTATTATTTCATATTCTTACTACCTCTTTGCGTACCATCATGTAAGTATAGTCTGTCCAATGGAGGATCCTCGACAGTGACAGTTGTGACTGTCATTTCATTCACAGGCGAATAGGAGTTTTTGTAATTTTGAGATGTCGTCTGTCGAAATCTTCCCTGTGTAGTTGGACCAAAAACTAAAGAATAGACTCTGGAATAGAAGATTTTTCCTCCAAACAGTGTCATACCAGAGGGTTAATATATGCAGAACTAGAAGCGATACCAATTAAACTTTTAGTTACGTAATCAAGGGCGCGATTTTTAAATTCATTGTTGCCAACCATGAATACCTGGAATTTAAATTTATCGCTGGGGATTCAGGTGACAGTTCTGTTGTAAAAAATGTCAAGTTGCCATATTTATTTATTTATTTACTGATGACATTTACTGTCCTCCATTCACGCAATTGTGCAACTCTGAACTGTTCAAGAACGCGAGACTCTCACTCCTTTCAATTGAGTCATAAAGTTCAGAACTGTTCCGCGCCATATGGAGGCACCAGGCTATCGCGCACAGCTCCTTTCAGGACCGTTCTGAGTAGCCCAGTGCGTAAAGCTCTGGAACTTGAAATTCGCGAATGAGGACGGCAATTGTCACTCGTTTTGACACTTTGGTTTTGTATTACGAATTTTTAGTTTAAATGAATTGTGTTGCAGTGACGTTGCGTGAATTTTTGCTTTAGGCATGCACTACGAGGTAATAATAATATTAAAAAGCGTGAGCCTGCAGAAGGCGGATTTTTTCGGTACTGGGTCCAATTTTCGCCTAGAAATCGTTTAAAATCGTTAAAAAAACAGCCCTGTCTATGAAAATATGTCTAATGTCTACGAATTAATCATTTGTAATGGTGATGATAAAGCAATACAAGAATTTCCATTAACATACAAACTGGATAAAATTTTCTCACATTTATGTCAGCATGAGAAAAAAACAATATGGCGATATAATTATATTTTGGCAGTTACTAAATTACCCAACTTTTTGGAACACCCTGTATGATTTTTTAAAAAAATTCATATGTAAAAAAATAAAATAAATTATGCGTGTCCAAGCGTTTTCCCGAAAGACTAACCGTTTTTTAAAAAAAATATATTCTAATATTTGAGGGGTAGTTTCACCCCCTTAGAATTCGAGTTTCGAAAAATCCCTTCTTATCGAACCTCTACACCCTAAAGTAAATCCGTTTTCCAAAAATCAGCTTTTTACGTCAAGCGCTTTAAGCAGGATCGTGATTAATCAATGACCAGATTTTTCGAAACACCCTGTATACATTTTTAAAAAATCTTAAAATATGTAAAAAAACAAAATAAAATATATGTGTTTAAGCGTTTTTTCGGAAACTTGACCGTTTTTTAAATAAAAAATATTGTAATATTTGAGGGGTGGTTTCACCCCCTTGGAACTGGACTTTCGAAAAATCCCTTCTTATCGAACCTCTACACCCTAGAATCAACCTGTATGCCAAAATTGAGCTTCTTACGTTGAGTGGTTTGAGCAGAATCGTGATTAATCAGTGAGTCAGTCACTTAAGGATTTTATATATTAGCTGTGATATTAGTATAGATTAAACACCATTTTATTTATATAAAACACCCACTATATTTTTGATAAATTTCAGGAAAATAGAACTACCTATAGACGCTAAGACTATAATATAGAAGAGACACTGAAAATTATTTATGTATTAGTCACTGGTACTGAAACAAAATATACCGTATAATCGAAAAAACAGCGCCCGTTGACTTGTAAATAAAAATCGATTACATTCCACAATTTTATAGTGATTTATATAAAATGACTGTATTCTTTATTTACAATGCAAGTCTGACACCATAGAATAACTATATAACTGTCTGACACCATTTTTTTTTCGATTGTAATCTTACTTGATAAATCTTACACTTAGGAAATAAACAAACGCTACTAAAGAAAATTGAAACACAATAATTTAATCAAATTACAAATCTATACATGCATCGACTATATGTATATGGCTATAGAAATCCGTTGCTCCCTATCTTTAGACATTACTTATAATTAATTAATTATATTTCAATTTTTATAGGAAATAACCTGAGGAAATAACATTTTTAATATCCAAGAAATGATGGAGATTTTTAAAATTCTTAACATTGGAGGCAAATTTCTTCTTTTTTGAGTTTTTTTTTAATTAATTTAATGTCCTAAGCTACTAGGACTATCCGGCCTGTTAATAGGGTACTACCGTGGTACTACCCTCGGTTGAAGCACAAAACATATGGTTGAAGCAGAGAAGAACCTAGTTGAAGTATGGAGGTTGAAGGCTAATCCAGAGATCGAGATTTGAAGGTCGGATATCATGTGAGTTCTTGCCGAGGACCGTGGTTCGTATTCTGCCCTGTTTAGGGCCCTAAAGTTAGGCCCTGTCTATATTAGCCTAAGCAGCGAAAAAGAGACAACTTCCTAATTCCTAAAACACAACATAACCTAACATATTTGAATTTGTAATCGTTTTGCCCAATGGTTTTGCCTCTTTTTTTGTGTCCCTTCAGTGTATGTTTATGATTTCTCACGTATATTGAAAAGATATAACATTGAATTTTTGTGCATAACAAGTGTTTTTAATTTACTACTTTGTTTCTGTACAAGTCATAAAGAGGTAATAGAAATCGATGGCTCTTTTAGACAAACTTACTATTTCTGGTGTAAGAAGTTTCAGTCACGATAACGAAGAAAAAATTAAGTTTTCCACCCCCCTAACGTTAATTCTCGGTCAAAATGGTTGTGGGAAAACCACTATTATTGAATGTGTAAAGTATGCTTTAACAAATGTCCTACCGGCTGGAACGGGCAGTGGAAGTGGGTTTGTAAATGACCCACAGTTATCCAATAAATCGTACGCGAAATGTTCGATTAAATTACGTTTCAGAGACTCCAAGGGTGACTATATAACTGTCGGTAAGTTCGGCGAAGTTACTGTAACAAGAGGGTCTATAAAGTTCAAAGGTATCGCACCAACTATACGTTATGAGAAAGGAGATGATCCGCAACACAAAGAAGACATTAGCGGTCGCTGTGCCGATATTAGTAGCTACTGCACACAGAAATTGAATGTACCAAAAGCAATCCTTAACAATGTTATCTTTTGCCATCAGGAAGACTCGGCTTGGCCATTGGATGAAGGTAAAAAGCTGAAAGAGAGATTTGACCAGATATTTGGGGCTACAGAATATAATAAATGCGTCGAACGATTTAGGAAATTTATCAAAGAATTAAGGAATGATGTAAAAGTAGTAGAAGTAGAACTAAAGCATAAAGAGTTGATAAAGAACAACGCAGAAAATTTGCAGAGCTCATTAAATGTGGGCAAAGAACAACTGCAAACTATTGAGGAGACTATAACAAAGAGAGAAGAAGATATAGAACCATTGAATCGAGAGTTTGAGAAAATTTGTAAGATTGAAAGGGAATTGAGCAACCTTAGTCAGAATTTGAAAGGTTTAGAAAAGACTTATGAAGGTAAGGCTTTATATGAATATACTGTGTCGTAGTCTCATATTGTATTCCGTCTTTTTTTTAAGAACATAACCATTTTTTTTTCTAATAACATAACTAAACTGCTAACCTAACCGACGCTTCATGAAGTGACCTAGGATCTTCATGAAAAGACGGAATACACTATGTGACTACAATATACTGAATATCTCTATCACTTACTCATTTTGACTCACCCTATGACCCTATACTGGGTGGTGCATCGTCGTTGGAAACAGGACATCCCATATGCAAATTTTGAACTGTTGAAATATTTGTTCCCCTATTAATTTTACAGGTAAGTCACAAATAGAGTTTTTTTAAAGGTCTGCATATGCTAAATACACATGCCATTTTTCTTTTGGCAAATGTAATTTGTTGTGCTCTACACTACTATGTTATGATACCTCTTGTTAGTGTGGTTAGTGTCCCCAAAATGCATTTTTGTAATTTAAAACTGGTTCGAATGAGGCAAAAGCGTAATGTTTGGAAAATATAATTTGACATTGACAAAATTAGGATGACAACTTAAGGTACATTGGCATTTGCGTGGTTTTGCATTGTTATTTGTTCAATTTTAATTTAAAAATAGATGCAGTTTTTCTTAATGTACTTAAAATCGGCTTGTCGAAAATTGTTCACATTTGGCATGTGTATTCAGTATATGCAGACCTTTAAAAAACCTATTGATGACTTAGCTGTAAAATTAATAGGGGAGCAAATATTTCAACAGTTCAAAATTTGCATGGGATTTCAACTTCGCACCACCCGGTATATACTTGACATATTATATTGATATAATAATAATAATAATCTCTTTATAATTTATAGAATATTTAATATAATTATTCATATAATATATAATAATTAATAATAAAGTCTTTATTATAAAGTGCAAACCGGGTGCATCTCGAAAATGGCTCACCCATATAATTTTTTTATTTTTCAAGATAAAAAACGAGATTTGGTATGTTAGTATATGACATAAATTAGGATTGACTGACGTATGCATTGTTTTTGGTCACTTCTTGTTTCACCGGAAAAATGAGTACAAGTTTTGATTTTTAAAGGACACCTCCGGTATATTTTTACTTTATTCGATTGAAAATGACATTCTAAATAGAATGACATATCACATGTCAACTTTTGATATTTTCGCTTAAAGAAAAATCGTGTTTTAAATTTCAATCCAGAGTATCATGGCTGTGTTAAAAATACTAATTTTTAATCAAGGAGCCTTGGAAAAATAGATTTGATCGTCTAATGTTTTTCGTGTCTTGTTCTGGCCGGTTAAACGATGCCCAAATCGTATTTTTAATATTATTTTTTCAAATGGAACAAGGGTGGCTCATTAGCATATTTGGAAAACCATTTTTTTACGAATAATTTGGTACCACACACTTGGTACTTGGTATTTGACTCAAATTGTCGTTATGACCGCATGTTACAATTCCAAATAAACCTTTTACGAAAATTTTAAAAGTTGACATATGATATCTCATTCTATTCAAAGTGTCGTTTTCTTTCGAATTAAGTAGAAATATACCGAGGGTGCCATTAAAAATCAAAAGTAGTCATTTCCGGTGAAAATTAAAGTGACCAAAAACAATTATTGAATACGTCAATCGATCCTAATTTATGTCACATACTAATATACCAAATGTCATTTTTTTATCTGAAAAATAAAAAAGTTACAGGGGACATACTGTATATAATTATTTACAATAAAATATTTAAGTTTTCCCCTCGATTAAGAATTGGTGTTTTTAACATAGCCATGGCACTCTAGATTGATTTTTTATTAAGCGAGAATGTCAAAAGTTGACATATGATATGTCATTCTATTCAGAATGTATGTCGAATAAAGTCAAGAAATACCGAGAGTGCCATTTATTTAAAAAACAAAAGTTGTAGTCATTTCCGGTGAAACAGGAAGTAATCAAAAACAATTGAATGCGTCAATAAATCCGAATTTATGTGATATACTAACATACCAAATCTCATTTTGTTATCTGAAAAAAATAAAAAAGTTATAGGGGTGAGCCACTTTTAAGACGCACCCGGTATAAGTAAGCTGTGTTTATATCTTCAGGTCTCTTATATTTCACTGACACCTCGGAAAGTTTATTTTTGCGCACAGGAAACATGATACGTTGCTTATCTTGATAAAAAACAATTTTCGTACCACGAATTAGGGATAAGAGTTTTATCTGTATTATTACAGTGTACCTAATCTGTGCTTTCAGTGTATGTTTATGATTTCTCATGTATATTGAAAAAATATAATACTGAGTTTTTGTTTATAACAAGTGTCTTTTTAACTTACTAGTTTTTTTCTCTACATTCTCTACTAGTCATAAAGAGGTAATAAAAATCGATGGCTCTTTTAGACAATATCGCTATTTCTGGTGTAAGAAGTTTCAGTTACGATGGCGAAGAAAAAATCGAGTTTTCCACCCCCTTAACGTTGATTCTCGGTCAAAATGGTTGTGGCAAAACCACTATTATCGAATGTGTAAAGTATGCTTTAACAAATGTCCTACCGGCTGGAACGGGCAGTGCAAGTGGGTTTGTTAACGACCCACAATTATCCAATAAATCGTACGCGAAATGTTCGATTAAATTACGTTTCAGAGACTCCAAGGGTGACTATATAACTGTCGGTAAGTTCGGCGAAGTTACTGTAACAAGAGGGTCTATAAAGTTCAAAGGTATCGCACCAACTATACGTTATGAGAAAGGAGATGATCCGCAACACAAAGAAGACATTAGCGGTCGCTGTGCCGATATTAGTAGCTACTGTACACATAAACTGAATGTGCCAATAGCAATCTTTAATAATGTTATCTTTTGCCATCAGGAAGACTCGGCTTGGCCATTGGATGAAGGTAAAAAGCTGAAAGAGAGATTTGACCAGATATTTGGGACCACAGAATATAATAAATGCGTCGAACGATTTAGGAAATTTACCCAAGAAATAAATAAGGAATGATGTAAAAGAATTAGATGAAAAGTTAAAGCGTAGAGAGTTGATAAAGAACTACGCAGAAAATTTGCAGAGCTCATTAAATGTGGGCAAAGGACAACTGCAAACTATTGAGGAGACTATAACAAAGAGAGAAGAAGATATAGAACCATTGAATCGAGAGTCTGAGAAAATTGAGAAGATTGAAATGGAATTGACCAACCTAAGTCAGAATTTGAATGGTTTAAAAAAGACTTATGAAGGTAAGGCTTAATATGAATTATTATGAATATACTGTATATCTTCACCACTGGCTCATTTTTTACTTACCCTATGATCGTATAGACTATAGACATATATAGATATAATAGACATATATTGATGTTAACATAATGATAATAATGACATCATGACAGCAGGGTGGCCGAGCGAGCATGCGCAAGGACGCTCGGGATGACTCTGGCTTACCACCGACGGGAGAGGTCTGGCAGGCACCGCGAACGCGCCGGCTCCGCGCTAGGTACGAGAGCACCAGAGCACAAACCAGAGTACCAGTCAATATTTAATTAATAGCACAAGCTGTATGACGTAATAATAAAAGTGGTTTATCTGGGGTGGATTGTTTCATTTAGGGGTTAAAATAATCTAAAATTAACATTGATATAAAGACATATTATATTGATAATAGACTGTATTGTCGAAACCTTTGGTCGAAACAAAAGTATCATCAAGTTACTTTAGAAATGATGATCAAATTCTTTTTGATTTTGGAGATAAGTGCTTAACAAAACATAAAATACAGGTTGTATTGATTTATCTAATATATAAAATTCTCGTGTCACAGTTTTAGTTACCATACTCCTCCGAAAGGGCTTGACCGATTTTGATGAAATTTTATATACATATTTATTCAGTAGGTCTTAGAATAGGTTGTTATCTATTTTTTATACCCCTAAATGATAAGGGTGCTCCGCCTCATATTTTTTTACTTTTTGGGCAAATTTTTTTATTTTAATTTTTTTATGATGGGGTATTAAAAAATACATACAACACTAACTTTTGACCCTTCTACCATCAACCCCTATTTTTTAATAGTGATGTTACTAATTCAATAATTTTAATTTAACAACAAATTGTTTTTAAAAATTGTTAGAATAGCTTAAATTAAAAACGTGAGTATGATTGGGTATACAGGGTGGTCCGAACTGTATTCCGGAAACTTCGGCAGCATATTCCGCAATTAAAAATAAGTAAAAAATGTCGTATAAATGTATGTTCTAAAATGCTTAGTTTCGGAGATACAGGGTGTAGAAGTCTCATTTTTATTCCGATTTTTTCCAAATAATTTCTGAAGTAACATCAATATATGGATGAAAATTGGTGCCTGGGAGTTTTTTGACATGAGAAATCTGATTTTGATATCAATATGACTCTTATTTGTAGGGGGCGCCACCTACATGTGTTTTAACTGTTTTGACGAGTAATAACTTTTCGTCCGTACCTGTATAAAACTACTGAGTAAAAATATATACATTTCCATGACTTTTTACGTAAAAAATGTCTCTCGGTAAAAATCGCTACGAACAACCGTTCTCAAGATATTTAGAATGGAAATAATACATGTCATTATTGACAAAAAATAAACACGTTGAGTAGGTAGTTATTTGACTGAAATAATAAATTTGGATTTTTTTTTAAATTAATCATTAATTTTTCTGCGAAAAAACGATGATAAAACAGTTTCTGCTGAACTTCTGGTACAAAAACTTTTCAAATTTATGATTTCTGTCTAATAACTATTTAGTCAGCATGTTTAATTTATGTCAATGACAACAGGTATTGATAATTTAGATTCCAAATATCTCGAAAACCATTACTCGTAGCAATTTTTACCAAGTGATCTTTTTTACGTAAAAAACGTCGTAAATGTATATTTTTTCACTTAGTAGTTTTGTACAGGTACGAACGAAAAGTGATTGCTCTTCAAACCAGTTAAAACATATGTAGGTGGCGCCCTCTACAAGTAGGGGTCATATTGACATCGAAATCAAATTTTTCACGTCAAAAAACTCCCAGACACCAATTTTCATCTATATATTGACGTTACTTCAGAAATTATTTGGAAAAAATCGAAATAAAAATGAAACTTCTACACCCTGTGTCTCTGAAATTAAGAATTTTCGGACATACATTTATACGAAATTTTTTACTTATTTTTATCTGCAGAATATGCTGCAGAAGTTTCCGGAATACAATTCCGACCACCCTGTATATCGGGTATAGTAGTATTTACCCAAATTCAATATAAATTTTATTGACCCTTTGGACATATACATTTTTATTAAATTCATATAGGTATGTTAGGCCTTTTATCATTCTGATTGTCTTTCAGTATACAGGGTTGTTCACCACATACGTCACGGAGTATTGTAGTTAAACGATTAGATTTTTACAAATTGTAAGTTTTGGGTTCGTTGAAGGACTATTAGAGCTACAATTTAAAAATATTTTTACAAGATACAGAGTGTCCCAAATAAATAAAAAATATCAAAGTTGTATTTTTTTAAATGGAACACCCTGTATATTATTACATTTTTAGTTTCTACGATTAAAATAAAGGTAAATTTAATAAAGGTTTATTACACTTAAACCTTACCGTTCTTGAAATATTTTCAATTTTGTGAAATTGCAGTCAAAATTTTAAGGCTTCATTTCTCCAAGGGTATCAAAGTTTTTAATACTAAATATTTACTGAAGTTTATTTATTGATCAGTTATTGTGTTGCAATAATAAAAATTATACTACCTTATACAGAGTGTCTAAAATTTTATTTTAAATAATTACTAGCTTTAAACGGCAATAAGTTGTTTAATTTAAATAGTACACCCTGTATATTTTATGAGAATCAGATGCACAATTTAATTGTCTCTCAAATTGTATTATACCATTTTTTACCTATAGCTTCAAGTTTCCGTAGAAAATGCATTTTCTTGTAATTTTAAATTCATTTATCAATATACCCATGGAATACTGACATTTTAGATTATTTTCAAAGATGTACCAAATTTTTAAAGAGTACAGATACTAATATTGTCGATATAGTTTGTTTATTTCATTAATTAATAATTAATTAATTAATTATTAATTAATTATTATTTTTTAATTTTTATTAATTAGTATTTGGGCGGAAATAATGGTGGTATATTTAATTAATGGTATACTCTTTTATGAAGATTTAAATAGTTTTCTTTTTGCATACAAATGGGCTAGTAATATTATCATTTTGTTAAAAACGATAATATTACTAGCCTGTATATTTTGTACATTTGCTGCTTTAAAAACAATCTAAAATGTCAATATTCCATGGGTATATTGATAAATGAGGTCTAAATTATAAGAAAATGCATTTTCTACGAAAACTTGAAGGGATAGGTAAAAAGTGGTATAATACAGTTTGATAGACAATTAAATTATGCATTTGATTTTCCGAAAATATATAGGGCGTTCCATTTAAATTAAACAAGTTACAATAACAACAACACAATAACTGATAAATAAATAAACTTCAGTAAATATTTAGTATTAAAAACTTTGATACCCTTGGAGAAATGAAGCCTTAACATTTTTACTGCAATTTCACAAAATTGAAAATATTTCAAAAACGATAAGGTTTAAGTGTGATAAACTTTAATAAAATTTACCTTTATTTCAATCGTAGAATCTAAAAATAGAATAATATACAGGGTGTTCCATTTAAAAAAATACATCTATAGCATTTTTTACTTATTTGGGACACTCTGTATCTTCTAAAATTATTTTTAAATTGTAGCTCTAATAGTCCTTCAACGAACCCAAAACGTAAAATTTATAAAAATCTAATTGTTTAGCTACAATACTCCGTGTCGTATGTGGTGAACAACCCTGTATAATATTAGGCCCTTATACCAGTTTTTTCCAAGCAAGTGGCACTTATTTATAAACTTAAGAATCTATACAAACGTATAACTAACATTGATATTTGGATGAAAATTGGTATCCGGATATTTTTTCCATGGGAAATGTTCCCAATATATTTGGAATCGAAATAATCAATACATTTTAATTAAGGCTGTATTCCGTTGCAAAACCAGGCGAACCAGACCGGTAAACTACGGTAAAGAGCGGTTCCTGAAAAACATCGGTTTGCTACGGAACGGTTTGGTAAAATACTGGAAACGTCAAATGTTGACGTTTTCTAAATTTCAATACCTCTATTATAAAATTTATCTATTATGCATTTTTAATGTACCTATTCTCTGCTTTTACGTTTGCTTCTTCTTTTCAATGGTGTTTAATATTGAAAAGTACCGTATGATCGAATAAAAACGGCATCAGCGATGGCTATGAAATGACGATCGATGACATTTCCCATATAATTTTACATATAAAATGACAGCGATCTTCTTTCATAGCCATCGCTGACGCCGTTTTTATTCGCTCATACGTTACTTTATTAATAAACTGTTAAACTCGTTAGACAGCTCAAGTGAAGATTTGCAGGTCCAATATTAAAATAGATCAATAATAAATAAACAAATCTAATCAATATTTATATTTTTATAGCTTACAAAACATTCACGATTACTTGTTATATTGATTTTCATGTTTTCTTTAAATGTTCCTGACTTTAAGAAACAATGGCGATGCATGATAAGTTTAAATGGTTCTAAAAAGTCATTCTATTTAGTTAATGAAATTTATTTACCTTTACTGCCTACCTCCATTGCTTTTGGATGTAAATACAAAATATTATAACAAATTTTAGAAATTAAATGAGAATTTCAGTCGAACTTTCAATATTTGCTTGATTTCTTTCACATAAATGACATTGATTGACAAACAGAACCAGAAAAAACAGCCTTCTCGCGTTGGTTAGTTTGGTGACAGAACCGAATTTTTCAGGAACCGTGTTCCGTAATAAGAAAACTTTCAGGAAACCGAGTGAAACGGAACATAAAACCATAACCAAGGTAAGCTACGGAATACACCCTAAACCTTTGAATAAACCCTAAACAAATAATCATTCATTCATCATTGACAAAATAAACATGTAGACTAGACAGAGGACTAGATAGTTATTAGACTGTCGTAATAAATTTGTATTATTTTTGTGTCAAAGGTTCGACAGAAACCAGACATTAATTTTCGTGTTTAATTTTAAATTATTAATATCTATACTTTATCAATAGTGTGCTGAGCAACGTAATATTTATCTGGTCTACCATACCTGATCTGAGCCGTATGTTCTTTTCATCTTGTTAATATTGATCTTCTAGTTTGCCCAACACATTTCTGATTACAATCTTTACATAGGACTGTATACCATTAAACTTAATTTTTATTTACAGCTTTAGTTAAACAGCAGCAAAACTTGAGAGAATACATCAAAGAAGAATTCGTAGGCTCAGATGAAGACCTGCAAAATAAAATCCTAAATTTCAATAAAAACGAAAAGGAGACATTGAGTCTTATTGGTGAAATGGAAGGCAAAAAAACGAAAATCGAGGTCAGCTTACGCGAAGTGAGTCAAGAACTGCAAAATTTGCAGCGAAATTCCGGAAAAATGAAAGCTGACGAAGAAAGACACAAGAAAACCTGTGAAGAACTGGATAAATCGATCGAAAAAGGCAGAATTATGTTAAAAGTTCTTTCTGATAATGTAGAAGAACCGTCACAATCTATAGAAAAGCTTGAAAGCGCCTATAAAGTAGAAAAAGAGAATTTCGCAAAATTGGTTGCGGCAAAAGATATGAACGCCAAACAACTACAAGAAAAAGTCAGCAAAATTCGAGACAGTTTAGTGGCTGCCAAGTCAAGTTTAGCTTCAAAAAAGAAAGCTACCGGAGAGTATGAAACTAAAATCTCTGAAAACAAAAGCAAACTGAGTCGTTTTTCCCTTTCTCACAGCCAAATGACCGACGTGGATCAACAGATTACCGATGTCGAGTCTAGTTTAACTCAGATCAAATCTGAATTCAACGAGGAAGTGTTTCAAAATGAATTAGATGACATTTCCCGCCAAATAACCATGAAAGAACGGGAGTTTAAACTTTTGCAGCAAAATTATTCTACTGAGCAGGAAATAAAAAAAGAGTCGGCAATGGTTCAAGAGAAACGGGCCGAGATTGAAGAGATCCATCGAAACCATAAGACCAACTTTGAGAAATTGTTTCACAATAATATTCCAAAGCGTCATTTCCAACAGGCCATCAAAGAAATTCAGAGGGTTCAAGAGAGAAAGTTAAAAGATGCGGACCGAGACATAACAGTCCATGACAAGCGCGTTTCTTCGTTAGAAGCAGACGTCAAAAATACCAGAGAACTGTTAGAGAGTCAAAGAGAAGAACTGAAAACAAAAAGGAACAAAATTGACGCCAAATGTAAGGGTAAAATTTTTAATGAAGTCCTGAACCAGTCTCATGGGAAAAAAGAGAAGCTGCAAAGAGATAAAGGTACTTATCGTTCAGCGAAGACGTTCTTTGACGAGTTTATTGTGCAGTTTCAACAAGAGACTCCGTGTTGTCCAGTATGTGAAACCGATTTTTCTGACAAGAAGAGAATGGTTCCTAACATAATTTCCAGACTTAAAAGCAGAATTGAGGAACTACCCAGGAAACTGACTGAGGTAACTATAATTATTTTCGTTTCAAATAATACTATTTGTAGACCCATGGAGGGTAGAGGCACAGATTATACAGATTATAAACTTTGTTTTTTCTTTATTGTTTTTTGTGGTTCCAATTTTCGGAATCGGGCACTAGTTAGGTTACTAGTTTGCGCACATAGCACGCCCACTTATGGCCTCTAAAATTGTGCACAGCGCCTGACCGGCACAGTTATTAGAGAGATATCGGAAAACCGAATAGCGTCATCCAGTATTTACGCGTACCTTATCATGGTTACGATATGCGCGAGTCAATTTTTAACGCAACACCCACTAATAACGTTACTGTCTGACGTAATTTGCGGACCAATTAAATCAAGCGCTATTTCTAAATAACGTTTAAAAATTGCTTAAATGGGCATGTGCGGATATTTGACAACCGGGGCCGGCCGGCGAGATCTTTTATTTTAGGTTATGTTTGAATTGTTTTCAATTATTACTTTAGTTTTTTATTAGGTAATTTGATATTTAAGTAGCTGGGATTAGTTTTAATTAAATAAATATGGCCCAAAATATGGATTCCACCTCTTCCAATATTAAAGAACCTATAAAGAGGCTTAGGTTTACAGCAGATGACGACTTAGCCCTTATAAGAGAATTTGTTGTTTGTTGCCCTAAACCCACTGGCAGACGTTGAACAATAAAGCACTGGAAATAAGCACTTTAGCCCTTTAGTTTTAAAATACCTAGTAAACAAAACAATTTCAAAGTTTTAAATTCAAAGTTAGGTTAAGTTTAAATAGCGGACGCGACGCGAACAGAATTCTTTCCGATCCGATAACTATAAATGAAGAGAGTTAATACCACCTCACGTAAAGGAAATAACACCTGGCCTTATTAACGTCCATGCGCGCTATTCGGTTTAGCGATATCTCTCTATTATGCTGTTTATTGTTATTTTACGCGAGTTTATTATTGCGCACAGGAAATTTTACTCGTTTGCACATCGTTATAAAAAACACTTTTTGTACCACGAATTAGGGATAAGATTTTTATCTGTATACATATAGTATGCCTAATCTGTGGTAGAGGTAAGGAGAAACATCTTTTATGGGACTTTATTTGAAAAGGTTGTCACCAAACTGGGAAAAATAAGGGTTCACTAAATAACCACAGTGCCGCTAACAAGGAATAAGGGATTGAGCTGAATTTAGTGGTTATAAATAAAGTGAAGTTTGTTAAAAAGAGAGGCACAATGCGTCTTCAGAAATTGCAATTTATTTCTTTTGAATTATTTTCTGTTCTAAGATTTTTTAGTGCTTAAAATGTAAAACTTTTGCTACAGCAGCGCCATCTTAAGAGTTCTTTGTTATGACCACTTTTCAATACATGAAGATAATTATCTTTACCTCTACCACAGATAGCTCTATCTTCCATACGTACGGTAATCGAAAAACATTTTCCGATGCACGTGACCAACTTTGAGCGACTAGCGATGGCGATAGCAGCGCTTCCAGATTGTGATGGATTTTCGAGATGAATCTTAATGTAAAATTGGGAAACAATATATTTATTATATCATTTTTTAAAGATTTTTACGTTTTATTTTTAATTTAATGAGTAATATTTTAGCAACTAATTTGTTTTAATTTATTATGACGATTATTCTAAGCGTTATTATGGGTTATTTATTTATTTATTGATGTACATCTACACAGGTGGCAATAACAAGTAAAAGGGTGCCATTAATGCACAAATTAAAAATCACAGAATTTACTCATAACTAACGTAGAAATATCTTTGAAAGTGGTATAATGTGCTTACCAATTAAACTTACTTCTCTGACTGCAATCAAGAAACCTTTATCAAAGGACCTTTATTGTCACATTCTCGTTCAAAATATTTTATCAGCTACAAGCTCTTTGCTTCGACAAAGTTTCCCTGATATTGTCCTAATTTTCCTCCGTATTTAAATGCTTCCGCATATTTTCAACACACAATTTCGAGAAATGCAATACAAAAACTCGAAAATTTAGTTCTTAAAAGAATTGTTTGTGCTTAAAAGTATAATTTTTAAAAAAAGACTATGAAAATAGGCAAAAAACGATAAATTATTAACTTAATTACTCACAAATATTTAACAAAAACCTAATTAAGATAATGACTGACATTATGATAATAAACTACAACGTTGCTGAACACGGCGCAATGTGACCAATATAGTGATAATAAAATTCGATTTAAACTAATTTTTGCAGCTTTAATCTAAATAAAATATCTGTTACGATTTACAATCACAGTTTAAAGAATATAAATATATCAGTTGGCCCACTCTTCGCCCGTATCAAAATTTCTCCCACCGCTCCCCGCGTGTCTTGTAGACTTGGGCCAGTCTACATCCGTTGCTCAACGTGTACACAGCGTTCCAAGTTTATTTTAGTTTTGTTTTCCTTCCGATGCATAGGGTGAACCAAAAATAGTGTTTAGTTGTTTTGTTCGAATTGTGAATAAAATGTATACTAGAAATATTTGTGCAGTGGATGGTTGGGAAAGTAGAATGACAGACAATATATCGTTCTTTAGGTACCCAAAAGATGAAGGAAGGTATATGTTTATATAGTATAGGATATTAAGTATATAATAATTAAAGTATTAGACATATTAAGTATATTATAATTATGGAAACCCAACTATGAATAAATTGTTTTAAAAATATACATATAAATTAAGAAAAGATTTTACTCGAAATATGCACAAAATATTTATTTATAACAATTAGTTTATTATTTTAGTAGATATTTTAGAGTAGTAGTAGATACTTTACTATTATGTTTTGGATTTTCCAGTATTTACCGGTTGGCAAAGTACATATTAAATTATTTCATAATAAATTTGCATTTTTTTAAATAGCATGTTTTGCTTTTTAGATGTTTGTATTTAACTTTAAATAGCCACCTGGAAAGTCCAAATTTTATCGTCAGGTAATAAAAATACGCGCATACAACTTGTTCTGCTATTGACAAGTTTTTTAGAGTTTTTACTAAATTTTATGTAACAGTAAATATAACAATTGACGAGCACAATATGGAAAAAACGATGAGCATCCAGAAATGATAAATGTTCAGGAAAGCGTTTTTTAATTCAAATTACGCATGGACTTTTATATCGTTTTCCCCATTTTTAAATGCCTGTTTCTATGTGGCCGTTATCGATATTCCCGTTTATTTAGGTACTAAAAGGTGTAGCCCCCTTTTTGGTACTTTCATTGTTTTTCCCGTGTGCTCTTCAATTAGTAGTAAATATTGTAATACATTATATTTGCATATTTCTTAAGTTATAGCATGTTTTGCTTTTTAGTTGATCTCTCGTATACGACCAGCGTTCTGACTGATAAAATAGCACTTCCGCTGCACCCTGTAAACGTACAAATTTTTTGCCACCTCCAAGGGTCACGGGCCGTCTTTGCAGTCAAAATAACAATAGAATTCCTTATAGTGAGCCAACTGTATATGTATATATTCTTTAAACTGTGTTACAATCATTTGCTCTATAAAGTAAAATGAAGAGCTGCTGGATATCTTAAATTATACAACAAATTTAAACATTTTTGGCCAAAATTTCATTTAGTCAGGTTTATAGGCTTTAGTGTCAATTTAGATACGATTGATGACGTGCACCGGAAAATGTTTTGCGATTACCGTAGATCATATACCTACAGTTTATGTCTAATACAGCAAGTTTCAGGGTGCATCCATACCATCCTAGAAAAGGCGGAACGGCGTATCGGCGTAACGACCTTGTATCGATTTCCGGCAATTTGGTGAAATTTCCAGCAATTCAGCTTTGCTGAAATTTTTCGAAAATTCATCTGTCAAACATTTCAGCCAATAGAATTGCTGGAAATCGATATAAGGTCGTTAATCCGATACGCCGTTCCGCATTTTCTAGGATGGTGTGGATGCACTCTCACTTGTTTCAAATATAGAGAATGCTCCGAATTATATTCAGGAAACCTTAAAACCCAAACCGAAAAAAAGTTCGTATAAATGTATGTCCTGAAACGCTTCATTTCAGAGATACAGGGTGTAGAAAGTTCATTTTTTATTTCGATTTTTTTCATCAGATTTCTGAACTAATGTCGATAGTTGGATGAAAATTTTTGTCTGGGTGTTGATATGTGAAATTTTTTCCAAATAATTCCTGAAGTAACGCCAATATTTCGATGAAAATTGGTATCTGGGAGCTTTTTAACATGAGAAATTTGATTTTGATGTCAATATGACTCCTACTTGTAGGGGGCGCCACCTATATATTTTTTAATGGGTTTGAAGAATGATAACTGTTTTTAACTATACTCTATTTCTAAAAGCCTAATAGCAGAACCTCATTATAAATGCAAAAGGCGTTTTCTTGTGTACAGTGTGACATGCCAAAAGATGGGAGCAATTTCATTTTAAGGGTTTATTTCCAATGAAATTCAGACAGCTTTAACACGTTTGTAGATGGACACATCCGGTACGTTAACAATAGGGCAATAAAAACCCTCATATAACAATAGGGCAATAAAGATATCAGGGTTAGAAGAGCTACCTGAGAAGGTACTGACCGCACCAGTGTCGGGTATTAGGGTTTTAAGATTTAAAATAATAATTAAAAACTCTAACTTTTTTGAATGACCAGCAGAATGCTTCAAGTCGTTAGTTAGAACAATCCTTAAACTCAACTTAGAACAATTTTACTGCTAGGCTTCAATATTCAATGAAAGAAAACTTCAATGTGGAATTTTCATTGTCTCTTTTAATTATTTTTTTTTAGTTGACTTTATAATTATCTTGGTATCTACAACCTAAAATAATAAATAAAGACAGTGGCAGTTCGACATAACAGTTTTCTGTCAAATTCACATTTTTTACCAACCGCAAATAAACATTTACTTGACTCTCAGGTAGAAAATGAGTTAAGGAAAGAAGAAACGTTTTATAACGAGCTCCAGCAACTCAAACCAGTCAGCGACGAGATTTCTAGACTTCAAACCGACGAGATCCCCGCTTTAGAGTCGAAGTTGGAAAAGCTAGAAGAAACTTTAAAAGAAACAACAATGGGATTGGTTGCTTTGAAGGAAGAAAGAAAAGAACCAGATACCTTAGTGGAGATTTCCAGAAGAGTTATCACAGACGCGGCTGTTTTGGATCGTCTCATATCAGACGTTGAGGCCAGCGAAAGTTCACTGGCCACCCTGAAGCGACAACTAGTACAAGTGTTTTCTAAGCGTAGCCTACACGAAGTTGAGACCGACCTGACTAACCTTAGACGCACAGAGAAGACCAAAAGGGACTTACTGAATGATTGCAGAGAGCAAATACAGAAATTCAACCAGCAATACCAGACGTGCATTCAGAAGAAGCTCAAAATTCAACAAGGGATGCAAGAGCAACCTTTGATTCAAAACCAAATTAAGGAATTCAACCAGATCATAATAGATTTGGAGATGGAATGCAGAGAATTGGACGAATCGATTCAAACTCTTGAAACGAAATTGAGCCAGGCCGAACGTGAACGGAATCAAACGGTTAAAGATAATAACAGTCAAATTGAGAAAACTCGTGCCGATCTCGAACAACATAATATTTTAATGACTGACATTCGCAAGTTACAGGCTAGCGTAACCACATTCAAATCCAGCGATTGTGAGTCAAAACTAAAGGAGCTACTTAAGAATATTGAATCGAATGAATTGAACATCACCAAGTTGCAGAAAGCCAAAAAGCTACTGGAAGAAAAAATAGTGAGCAAAAAGGAAGAACAAGCTAGTCAAGAGACCAAGTTGAGAGAGTTGAAGGACAACTTGGAACTGAGAAATAAACAGAAAGAAGTGGAGGAGTTGAAGAAGGAGATAGAGAGTTTGAATAAGCAAATTGGGGGCTACAATGCTAAGTCTGTTGTAGAAGATAAAAGGAGGGTTACTGGACAGATTGATGCGATTACCAGGGAGATTAGTGAGAAGAATGGAGAGAAAAGACAGTTAAAGGTAAATAAGTCATGTATTATTTCGGAAAAGTTGACATTTAAAGTATGTAAAGACTGTTCAGCCGTCGTTTACCGTTACGTCATCATTATTTGTCAAATACTTTTGTGTCTGAGATCAGTTCATATTGATTGAGCGAGTTCCGTTTTTTTTCGGCATTTATTAATTTTTTCTTGAACTCTTCATCAGTTACGATCCCTTTAATTCCAATCCTTTGGACTGTTGAAATTCCTATTTCCAAAGCCATCAGCAACTCGCTATATTATTTAAAAACTATTAATTTGTATTTTACATAGGAATATTACACCTTTGCATTGTACCACAAACATTGTACTTACTTTATATGGCGTCCACGGGCAATGTGTTCTACCAGCGTCTTTCTCCAGAAAAATAATTTATAAGCTTAGAGTTCGTTCTTTTTTAGAACTCTTGGTCATTTTGATTAAATATTTGAGGCATTTTTGCAATAAAAAAATGGCTGTACTTAAACTGCCGTTAAACGGTAGCCTACCTAAATGCCGTTAATAGGTATGACGTCGTTGATGTGACGCACTTGACGGCTTTTTAATGCTTTGGTTAAAATGTCGTCGAACGGTCGCGTACTAAAATGCCGTTAATCGTTAAAGCAGAGTAGGCTACTGATTAATACTTAATAATTTGTAATGTAATGTTGTCCAAAATCCGTCATGGCTTATTCTGAATAAAATTAACTTGGAACGGTGTATATGTAGGTAGACGTATATGTTGCCGTTGTAGGTTTGAAAATGTATTTGCGATAAAATGTAATATATGGCATTGGTTTTCAGGTTTTTATTGCAAATTATAAACTGACAACTTAAAAATAATACTACGTCAACTTAAAAATAATAATGCTACAGATAGCATTATCTGCAAAACCACAGTTTTGATTTAGGTCGCTTAGTCAATCCTGCACAACGGATATGTGTCTTCACTGCACACAGAACAAAACCAACTTTGTTGAAGTCGTTTCTGCTCAACTAGATTGGTTATTTTTTCAAAGGCTTTCTCGGTGCAAAAACTTCTAAAAATCGTAATTTACATTATTAGTTATTAATTTGGTAATTATTAGGTATCGCTAGACTTACCTTATCATGTGGATATCAACAGCCTCATCAAGAACGGCATGTGATATTTCTTCGGGGAGCATTTTAAGGTCTACAGTTTCAAGAAATTTCCCATTTGTGATGCCTCTAACGATGTTACGATCCTTAACGAAGCAATTCAGGATTACATTTTGTTTTTCATGATAGGATTGTTTAGCAATTGCTACAGTACATCTTTTCTTTTTCTTTGGTAGTCCTATGACTGTTAAGTCCTGTCCTTTTGGTTTTCCTCGTTTTTTTTTATTGAAACAGGCATCTTAATTGATGTCAAAGCGAAATCATTGACTTCTACTATTTGATGGGACTGGTTGTTGACGTCATTTAAAACTGAATCACTAATATAGGAAAAAAATATAGGTTGATGCGCTTCATCTCGTGTCATTTCCTCCTCTATAACCAGCTCGTTACAAAACTCAGGTGCTTCCACAGGTGACCGACCAAGAGTTGATGTATTTCTATTATCTAATATGAGCGCTTCACTCATATTGTTTCTGTCTTGAAGGTCCGTCTCGTCACAAACCTCAGAGTGTTCCACAGAAGACTGATTTTTACTTTCAAATACAACTGCATCATCATAATTTCTAGAAGTAAAAATAATTTACTGAAAAGCCTTCATTGTACTTTTCATGGTTGGACTTTGAATGAAAAGTCCTCTGAAATTATTGTCTTCGTCTCGCAAAACAGCTACATTGGCACCTGAAAACAGAGTAGTTATTGGGACTAATAAGACGATAATAGAATATTTTAGTTTACCGTATTTAGCTTTAAGTATATTTAAGCAGCCATCTAAGTTTTCTTTTCTTGATTGATCGGATATCTTCATATTTGTTAAATCTTGTAAAGTAACAATTTTACCAGTACTTTCTTGAACTTTTGCTGTATCATTTTTTCTATTGGCCTTCATATTCAAATAATCCTTGACGCTTTCCTTCATGTTACTGGAAAGTTTTCTTTGGCTAGGGTTATGTGCATGTAGAACCTACAAAATATATCTTTTATGAATAAAATACTGTTCAAGCAAGAATTCTAAAAGCATACTATATGTCAACTAATCTGTAAACTTACCTTCGAAGTGACATGATTGTGCTTCATTTGAACCGATGTTACCTCGAGTGCTTTTCCATCAGACAATGCTTTGAATCTTACATGTACTGGGCAATCTTCTTTAAATGTCCAAGACTGTCGAATTTTTTCCCACTGCCCTTAAACTTCTTTCCACCGGGGTTACATGCATATAGAAGTTGATAATAAATCAAAGAGCTTTCTATTGGTCTCACAATTTTACTGCTTGCAATCGTACGGGCATCTCGTTTCCAAAATGTTGTGTACGTATTTTCACCAAGTTCCTCAATCGCTTTCTTTGCGTCAGCGAATGAGCTGAACCTATCCCCAATTTTCAGCATGCTAATTTCAGTCATGAAAAATAATTAGGTACCTAACTAACCTAAAAATGTTTATAGATAAATTAACAATCAGAAAACTAACTGAAACACTTACTGCATCCTGAACCGATAATATCCAGATGTACACCCACTTAGTACAAATTGTTACTACAATAACAGTGCAAACGCGACGAAAAAAACATACCAAAAGGGCAACGGAAAACGGAACACAAATTGATTAACAGCATTTTAGTACGCGTTCGACGGCATTTTAACCAAAGCATTAAAAAGCCGTCAAGTGCGTCACATCAACGACGTCATATCTATTAACGGCATTTCAGTAGGCTACCGTTTAACGGCAGTTTAAGTAGCAGCGTAAAAAAATTGAATTTTGTTTTACAGCGATAATCAAATTTTAATTTTGACATTGATCGATGTCCGTCAATAAAATTATAACCCTAAATCAAATGACAATTACTAAAAAGAATATGCAGTAATTTACGAAATGCCGTAATGATGTCACCAATCTCTTTCATCTGGTTGGCAAGTGATTGAGAGAGTTCGACAATATATGACGTGACTTATTATATACAGGGTGTTTCAAAAAACGTGCCATTTCTCGTGGGGAGATAAAATAAGATTTATTTTTCATATCAACATAGGTCTGATTCTGCTTTGTTTCGTAGCTACAGGGCGTTAAAGTCTTAATATTTTTTTTCGATTTATTATAATTTTGTTCCAAGTACTTTTAGCGATTCGAATGAAATTTTGAGGGTAAAAGTTACTATAAATGCGACATATTCACCAGGGACGTCTCTGGGATATCTCTGGAATATTTCTCTAAAAAAAGCATGTACGCCACTGACTTTTTTTTCCTCTTATTGATAGACAATAGTGTAAGCAGTTTATGTCGATTAAAAGTTGTCTTTTTGTCCAATTCGGCTTCCTGGGGCGCTATTCTGTACAATCGTCGGTATCGGCAAGTTACCGACAGCTATCGGTACGTACGGCCAATGAGCGTCGTGTTGATTGTTGTTGTCATAGTTACCGATCGGCCCTATGACAGATATCGCAAATTTGTACCGACGAAAATCGGTATCTCTACCGTGCCCTTGTCAACCTCACGGTAGAGATACCGAGAGTCGTCGGTACAAATTTACGATATCTGTCATAGGGCCGATCGGTAACTATGACAACAACAATTAACACATATTTACTATATGCAAATACGTACCGATAGCTATCGGTAACTCACCGATTCCGACAGCTATCGGTACGTATTTGTATATAGTAAACATGTGTTGATTGTTGTTGTCATAGTTACCGATCGGCCCTATGGCAGATATCGCAAATTTGTACCGACGACTCTCGGTATCTCTACCGTGAGGTTGACAAGGGCATGGTAGAGATACCGATTTTCGTCGGTACAAATTTGCGATATCTGCCATAGGGCCGATCATAACTATGACAACAACAATTAACACATTTTTACTATATACAAAACGTATCGAGAGCTGTCGTAACTTACCGATACCGACGATTGTCGATGCCGTGTACAGAATAGCGCCCCTGGATGAGATAAACGCAATTTTATTAATTTGCATTGATCTAAGTCTAATAGCAACCTTTAAAAAATATTATCATTAACTTGCAAAAGTTTTAAATATGTACTCATTGATTCCTCAAAAAATATGAAAACAAGTTCCTATAAACATGGTTAGGTTGGGTTAGGTATGAAAATGTTAGAGTTTTAGAGTTACATGATGTTAAAACTTTTTAAAATTAGGTTTTTTTCTAAATATCCTAAATACCAATATTTTTTTATTCGAAATTGCTGTATGTTGGACTAATAATAATAATAACTAACAGTAATAATATTTAATAATAAATTAGGTAAAATATATTACTTATTAATTTTATTTTAATTTTAATTTTATTAATTGTGATTATTAAAATAGCGTCTCATCAAGGAGGCCGAATTGGGCAAAATATCAAGAGATAACTTTTAATTGGTATTAAACGGCCTACACAATTTTGATACGAAAAAAAAAGGTCAGTGGCGCACGTTTTTTTTGAAAAATATCCCAGTGATAACCCATATGCACGTCCCTGATGCATTTTTTGACACTTTTTTAGCATTAAAATATGTAACACTTATAGCAACTTTTACCCTCAAAACTCCATTCAAATTACTAAAAGTACTTATAGTATAGAAAATTATAATAAATTGAAAGATTATTAACACTTTAACACCCTGCAGCTACGAAACAAAACAGAATCGGACCTATGTTGATATGAAAAATAAATGTTATTTTTACATGAGGAATTTCCCCACGATAAATGGCACATGTTTTGAAACACCCTGTATATGAATATATGCCGACTCTTATTTATATGAATTTTTCTATTTAACATAATTTTTTCTATGGAATGAAAAAGACTTTGATCTAAAATTCTTGGACTTCTAAAATTATAAATTATCTAAAACAAAGGCATTTTGTAGGAGAAGGTTGATGAGATCCAGAGTAAACTGAATTTAAAAGAACATCGCGAAGCTGCCACCCAACACAGGAAAAAATTCTATCAGTGTAAAATGAAACAACGGACGTTGAGCGACATGGAAAATTACACGTCCGCATTGGAGAATTCTTTGTTGAAGTTCCACAAGCAGAAGATGAGGCACATCAACATGAGCATAAGAGACCTCTGGAGGAACATCTACAAGGGAAACGACATCGACTATATCGAAATTCAAGCTGAGGATAACGTTTCAAGAAGTAAGTTTGTGGCTCATGTTGTTTTTTATTTGGTTGTAATAGAGTCACTCTGTACGGATATACAGTGTCCGGCAATAGTATGTATTTTAGAAAAATATTTTATCTTCTATAGGGTGGCTCAAAAAAGAGTGAGTGGATCGGTATAATATTTTTTAAATGGAACAACCCGTATATTATTCTTTCATTAAATGGATAATTAAAAAATGGTAAATTTTTTATATTTAGAGTGTTTCGAAATTTTTAATGGTTTTGAAGATACACGCAGAATTATTTCATATGGCTCTTTCAACGGTAAAATACGAGAGAAAAATTATTGGGTGACATGATTATGACGAAGAAAAATTATTTTATAGTTTAAAAAGTTTGCCGTAGAATTTTGAACATCCTGTATGATTTACGATTACCATATTTATAGCAAAGTAAGTACAGACCATCTAAAGTAAATAAATAATATAGTTTTGATTTCAGAACATTTTTTTAGGAAAGGGTGAAAAATATATATTTATTAGTTATTTATTAATAACTCTGAAACTATCGAAATATATTTGCTCATATATTAGAATTATGTAAAGTGATCTGAAAGGAAGCCAAAAATGCAATAATATACAGGGTGTTCCATTAAAAAAAATCATCCCGATCCACATACACTTATTTGAGCCACCCTATAGAGGTTAAAATATTTTCCTGAAATAATACTTTAGGTTTGCACTTATACAGAATTCCTAAGTTTGTTATTATAGAAGTTACAGATGCCCGACGCACTATTGCCGGACCCTGTAGATAATTTCAAATGTTTCAACTAAAATGTCACATATAACGAGATAACAAGGTGTTTCCAAGATGTTTCGTCCATCGCATGAATATAAAAATAGTACAGGGTGGCGCCTCTCATACGCCGCGGAAGCTCCAAGGAGAACGGTATATAGTTTATATCGAAATGAAATTTTGGGAGCATATGTAGGTTAATTGAAAGCATGGTTTGTATATATATAGAGTTCTACAGGGTGTCCCCAAAAAAGTTACACATCAAAGTTTTGTTTTTTTCTAATGGAACACCCTATATATTAATTGATTTTCGGATTCTAGGAAAAAAAAAATTGGCGCCGGGAGGCACGTATAGCCGCCCATACTAAAATATGTTAATATCTCGAAAACTGCGACTTTGACTGATTTTGATGTTGTTACAAATTTTGTTGCAAATATTATTCCTAATCTTAATTTGAAAACCGCGTTTCGCTAGCTACTGTAATTTTGGAGTTACGATTTTTTAAAATTTTTAATCCCCTCCCATACCCCCTTACCAACCCACCACCCCCACCAAAAACTAATGGTCATATTCTCGGGTGCCACAGTATTTTTGTGCCAAATTTGGTTAAAATCGGTTCAGCGGTTTTTGAGTTATCGTGTTACAGACGGACAGACAGACAGACACCATGAAAATATTTTGTATTTAGGTCATTTATGACCCAAATAACTCATTTTGAGTGAAATTAAAAAAACTTTTTTTGCCGATCTTAATAGTCTACCATACCTGTTGGTATGGTCGGCTAATAAAGGTGAGTTTTATTAAAGAAGCATATACCTAAAGTATGGCAAGCTGTACTTTGCTACTACCAAGGCGTTAAACGCTATATACGGGAGCTATTATTATTATTATATACCTAAAATCTAAGGATTTTGACATATATTTCACATTTTGTGAAAATGAAGAGAAAAATTTAAATTTCGATAACAGCTGCCTAAATTTTAGTTGACCTTGTATAGCCTGATATTTAATTATAGTAACCATTGCATGTTAAACCAAATTGAAATTTGACCCGAAGAGTTATACAGGGTAAGACAAAATTAATATGGAGAATTAGTCACTTTTAAAAGCAAGTTACTCCTTTATTTTAAATAGAACACCCAGTATATTTTTTCGGTGTTCAATGGGAAATTTATATATCTTCAAAATATTATTAAGGTTGCCTACCCCTCAGACAAAGATTTTCCTAGATACTTTAATTTTTATGATTTTGTATCAATAGATCTTTATTATTTGAAGAAATTTAGGGTGGCTGTGATATACCTTTTGTTAATTTAACAAAAATTAAAGAAATACACAACGATAATAAAAAGATACACGTTTAAGACATATTTTAATTATTACAGAATTAAAACCAGATATAAACCTATAATTATGTGACAAAAATTAGCTAGATGAAATCAAATGCTCAAAATGCTTCCTTTCCTGTTAACTGCATAAAATGATTGTCTTCTCAAAAGCATCTTTTCATTTTAAAAGGTATGTGTGGAGTTCTACCTCAAAAAGCAGCTACAATAATTTCTCTCATGTTGTCGAGAATAATAGTTGGTCGAGTTTTGTAAACACTGTCTTTAACATATCCCCATAAAAAAAACCCAGACTAAATGAAATCAGGAGCATTTAAGTATGTATTCTATTAATTGGTGAATGGACAACTGCATTCACCAACAGAATCATATCAATTCTCTCTGATGTAGGATAAATTTACATTTTCGGCAAATTTCTGAGAAATTTTTTTGTTTTAACTGACACAAAATTGATATCTAGTTGTTAAAGTTGGTCTAATTAGACAGCTCTGTTGAAGTAATGTCAGACATTGATATGTTTGATGTTACTGGTGCTGGTGGCTGTAATCAGCCATCTAGATTTTATCAAATAATAAAGATCTACTCAGATGTAAATGAAAATATTTAGGAAAATCTTTGTTTGAGGGGTAGGCAACCTTAATAGTATTTTGAAGAGATACGAATTCGCCATTGAATATAGGAATAATATACTGGGTGTACCGTTTAAAATAAAAGAGCAACATGCTTTTAAAGGCGACCAATGTTCAATATTAATTTTGTCTCACCCTGTATAATTTTTTGGACCAAGTTTTAATTTGATTTAAAGTACAATAGTTAATTTAACTACATATTATGCTATACCGGGTAAATTTCAATTTAGGTAGCTTTTATTGTAATTTAAAAATTGTTCTTTATATCTACAAAATGATAAATATGTCAAAAACCTTACATTTTAGTCATATACTTCTCTTATAAAACTCACCTTTATTTTTCTTTCAGAATACGAAAATCAATTAATATACAGGGTGTTCCATTACAAAAAACACAACTTTGATATGTAACTTTTTTTGGGGACACCCTGTAGAACTTTCTATATTTTTAAAAAGTGCTGTATTCTGAATTAACATACAAATGCTCACAAAATTTCATTTCAATACAAACTGTCGTTCTCTTTGGAGCCTCCGCGGCGTATGAGAGGCGCCATCGCCACCCTGTATTAGTCATTTGATTCAATGTATTTTATTAATTTTAGTGAGCTCCAGGAAAAGGAATTACGAATACAAGGTGGTCCAAGTAAAAAAAGGTGTGGCATTGGAAATGAGAGGTCGCTGCAGCGCCGGCCAAAAGGTCCTTGCCTGTCTGGTGATCAGGATGGCCTTGGCAGAGACCTTCAGCGCTAACTGCGGCATTCTAGCCTTGGACGAGCCCACTACCAATTTGGATAGGGAGAACATAGGCAGTTTGTGTGATGCATTGTCAAAGATAATCTCGACCAGAGAGAAAAATAGCGGATTTCAGCTACTCATCATCACTCACGACGAGGACTTTTTGCAGATGTTGACGAGGAACCAGAGTGTTTCTCATTATTATAAAGTTTTGAGGAATTCAGATGGTTATTCTCAAATTAAAAAGGAAATTTTATAAGCGTTAAATCAGTTTTTCTTTGAGCTTTCATTTGCATTCCTTTTTTTATTTTGTTAGGTTATAATATTTTTTTTTTTCATCATGAGTAATAGAACTTTGATTACAGAAATTAAAAGTAGTTGTTGCCTTTTTCCTAAGGCTGTAGGTGAAATAAATTTTTCTGTTAAAAATGACTAAACTTTGTTGCTATGGCTTATAGGAAAGATGAGTCTCAACCTGACATGCTATTTCTTTCGTCTAAAGTAATGTATTAAATTATTTAGAAGGCCTATAAATATACAATATGTACCGGGTTTGCCTTTACAAACGGAAACACTTTTTTATTACATATTGACATTTTGAGAAAAATGTTTTCGTCATAAAAAAAATTTGGCTTGTTCTAAAGTGGTTAAAATATCCCGTTTAAACTTTTCCAAATATCCATACCGTTTTAGAGGTTATATTATGGTTGAAATTTTTCAAAGTCCTAAAAATCAAAAGTCGTTTCTATGGTAATATAATTTAGATTTCATTCCTTGATAGATGGTTATATTAATATATTATTAATTTTGATTAACGTCATATTTTTGCTGTTAAAGTATCCAATTTTCCGATAACCATATATTATCACCCTTTCCGTAGCATTGAACTAAACAACTTTTGTGCTTCTTTAACATTTTAATATTATATATAAAATATTATGTTAATTAAAATTGTATCAATAAAAATGTATCAAAGAATGAAAACGAAATTATATTACCATAGAAACGCGTTTTGATTTTTAAAAATAACTATTAAAATAATTTAAAAATAACTATATTTTCATGTTTTTTTTAATTTTCTCTAAAACAGTATGGAAATTTGAAAATGTATAAACGGGATTAACCATTTTAGAACAAGTAAACCTTTTTATGAATAATGTATTTTTCTCAAAATGTCCTAATGAAAGAGTTTTTCCTCTTGTAAAGACAATCTGGCCACGTATTTTTTCTATCTACTCATTGAAATTTTTTAATTATTCATATGTAAATAGTATTTTTGTAATTTGTCGTTGTTACAGTTGTCACATGATATGTCAAATCTATTTTTGTTATTAGGTATGCCGAAAATATTCTGCATAAACTTTTTTTTTAATAATTCGGTAATAAAAAAAAAATATTACACACTTTTTGTTTTTAATAATTAATAAAAAGTAGTATACAATTAGTGTTTTTTTTTTCTTAACCTCTAAATTAATATACTCTACAGGGTGTTCATATATACCTGGTGCGTCTCAAAGGTGGCTCACCCCTATAACTTTTCAGATAAAAAACGAGTTTTGGTATGTTTGTATATGACCGACAAATCCATTTTACCAGAAGAATGAGTTATATATGTCAATGGATTCGTCTTCTAGTTCTCTACAACCTAACTTAATATACAGGGTGATCCGAACTGTAATACGGAAAATTCGGTAGCATATTCTGCAGACAAAAATAAGTAAAAAAGCTCGTATAAATGTATGTCCTTAGTTTCGGAGATACAGGGTGTTGAAGTTTCATTTTTATTTCGATTTTTTCCAAATAATTTCTGAAGTAACGTTAATATTTGGATGAAAATTGGTGTCTGGGAGTTTTTTGACATGAGAAATTTGATTTTGATATCAATATGACTGCTACTTGTAGAGGGCGCCACCTACATATTTTCTAACCGGTTTAAAGAATAATAACTTTTCGTCGGTACCTGTATAAAACTACTGAGTAAAAAAATATACATTTGCGACGTTTTTAACGTAAAAAAGTTCTCTTGGCAAAAATCGCTATGAGTAATGGTTTTCAAGATATTTGGAATCGAAATTATCAATATTTGTTATTATTGACATAAATTGAACATGTTGACTAAATAGTTACATAGACTGAAATCATAAATTTAAAATGTTTTGTTCCAAAGGTTCAACAGAAACTGTTTTAACATCATTTTTTCGAAGAAAAATGTATGATTAATTTAAAAAAAAAATAAAAAAGTTCCCAAATTTATCATTTTAGTCAAATAACTATCTACTCAACATGTTTATTTTTTGTCGATAATGACAGGTATCGACTGTTTCCATTCTAAATATCTTGAGAACGGTTGCTCGTAGCTATTTTTACCAAGAGACATTTTTTACGTAAAATATCACGGAAATGTATATTTTTCACTCAGTAATTTTATACAGGTATGGACGAAAAGATATTACTCTTCAAAACAGTTAAAATAAATGTAGGTGGCGCCCCCTACAAATAGGAATCATATTGACATCAAAATCAAATTTCTCATATCAAAAAACTTCCAGACACCAATTTTCATCGAAATATTCACGTTACTTCACAAATTATTTGGAAAAAATCGAAATAAAAATGAAACTTCTACACCCTGTATCTCCGAAACTAAGCATTTTAGGACATACATCTATACGACCTTTTTACATATTTTTATCTGCAGGATATGCTGCCGAAGTTTCCGGAATACAGTTCGGACCACCGCACCCTGTATACATAGCAAACTAAGACAAATCCTATCATTTTCTGGCGCTAAAATATTGACTTGTTTCACCGGAAATGACTACAACTTTTGTTTTTTAAATTACACCCTAATTATTTTTTTAGTTTATTCGATAGAAAATGACACACTGAATATAATGGCAAATCGTATGTCAACTTTTGACATTTTTGCCTTGCATATTTTAGGTTTATTTGAAATTGTAACATGCAGTTCATAATTAAACCACGATTTGGGCATTTCACATCTGAAAAAAATTGAAGATATTATTTTTTTGTAAGTGTCGAATTGCTATGATAGGACTCGATATAACTCCGGCACTGGTTGCTCATCATTGCCCAAACAGTAATATGGACTGACAGTTAACAGTACAGTTCGGTGTACATTGTCATACACGTATCGTTTCCGGCTTGAAAAAAAGCAAAACGTGAAAGAAGGCAAATCCGCAAGAGTCTTTCATGCTTGGTCTTGGTGTTGTGGAAGTCTTGCTCTTGGTCTTGCAGATCAAAAGCTATTCATGGTCATGGTGTTTGTCTTACTCTTTGTGTTGATGCAAGACCAAAACCTCGAGGCAAAGACCAGTCTCGCTCATCACTAGAGACAATATACTTAAAGCTACATAGGTTACATAGAAAATTATTAATTTATACAGCAAACGCTTTATTTGCTTTATTTTTACAATCTTTACGTGTTACGCCACTGGTAAGCTTAAAAATGTAATAATACTAAAGGTATCTCTGAAAATTATTAATTTCTTTTTACAATATTTACGTGTTACGCCACTGATAAGCTTAAAAATGTAATAATACCAAAATAATTAAATCGATTGGTATCTGTGTTAACAATGTGCTTATAAGCGTTTAAATTAGTAAAACTTTTTTATAAGACAGGTGAATAAACTTAGAATTTTATTTGACACAGCGATATCATTTTTCATAGGTTTCATTAACTAGTAATTTAGAATTTTGTAATACATAGACAACTTTTAATAAAAATTATAAACAATAATATCCGGAAAATCTTTTTAGTCCCTAAGGTTATTCAACTTTTTTGAGCTGTATACTTTATAATTATATATTATTTTCCAATTAAATATTTTTTTTGGTAGGTCACATATACAGGGTGTCTTTGGCTTACAGCAGAAGTTTCCATTTTTTTTCTCTTAGACCACTTTCAGAATTTTACTGGATTTGGTGGACCGCTTGTTGCTACATTTCTATCATATTCCCCAAAAATTCGTAAAAATGTGAAGATTTTCTAAGAAAATTTGCGCTGTTGCGGCTATTTTGGGAATCACTGCACTGATTCTTTTAGAACTAATATCTCTAATTTTCAAAATTATTTGTACAGGGTGAGTCAACGATAGAGTAAAGTCCATTATCTCATTTGTTTCGAGGTTTACAAAAAAATATTAAATATAAAAGTTAGAGGGACGGTTAAGGTACACATTTTAAAATTATTATAGAGTATACAGGGTGCTTCAAAAAAGTGTGGCGAATATAACATATGGTTTTTTAAATAGAACACCCTATTTTTTATTTTATTTTTAGATTCTGCGTAAAATTCCATAACTTTTTTATATATAATGTTTTATACCTAAAATTAATAGATTTTGTAATATTTAAATTTGTTTAAACAAATGTTAGATTGCAGTATGATAAAAAATTGTCAGTGATGCTATTGTTTCTGAAGTTGGAGAACTAAAATTTGGTAGGAGAATTTTATAGATATATTGAAAAAGACCTATGTAAAGATATTTTAGTTAGATGCTACAGGGTGTTCAAAATATATTTATGAATTTAAACTACTTAAAATTAAGAAATTTCAAATTTTTTAAATGGTACACCCTATATATTATCACTTTTTCTGATAGATTTTACAAAACTCTTCAACTTTTATTAAGTATGTCATATACCTATTTTTAATAGTTTGCGATTTATTCCAATTTTTTCTATTTTTAACCATATTTTTAATACAATTACCCTATAACATTATAGTTACCATGACAAAAAGTAATAATTATTAAAATTTCTTGTCTGTTAGGGAAGTTAAGAGCAAAATTTGAATTTTAGTTTAATTTGTTGTAATAAGTATAAATTGTAGACATAATAGTTACAGATTTTCCTGAAATTAATTAGTCAATGTGACTGATATACACGAACAAGCCAAGAACATATACTTTTTGGTTCAGTACTATATATTATATAGTACTTTGCTAAGTAGTATAAGAATAGATGTAGATTATCTAGAAAACATCTTCAGTGTGTAATGGGACGGTTTCGCGGCAGTAGTAATATTGGCTTTATCAAATGAATTATAAATCTGAATTACTACGAGAAAAAAAACTTTACTGTATGTCGAAGAAAATTCTTATATCAGTAGTCTTCAACAATTACGTAATCTAGTATTACCCTAATCTGGAGCTATTCGCTCTGACGGAAAATCCGAGTGTCATCTTTCATAATATAGAAATACACCAAGAAATTCACGACTGCGATTTTAGTTTATTTGAGTTAAGTTAATTAATCTTAACTAATACCAGCAATTGTAACTAATTATTATTAAGCTACTTGTTAAAGATAAGTAATAAATAGTTTGTTTTGTCATGGCAACTATGATTTTATAGGGTAATTGTATTAAAAATATGGATAAAAATAGAAAAAAAAATGGAATAAATCGCAAACTATTGTTACGGATTCCGTGGGTCCACTATTTTAAACTCACGATAAAATACTTAACGAATTTATTTTCTCACTTTATACACAATTACTAACTTATAACACACAACAAACTAACTATTTATAAGATTCCTTCACCAAATTGTCCGATTTTCAATTTCCACGCAATATATTCAAATTTCAAAAACTGTCTCAGTTGTCGATGGCTCCGGCTTATATACTCTATTGACTGCTTCTCGAAATTTCCCCAATTCTCGGAAAGC